GGGGAATATTTCTTGTCCGGGAGGACAGTAATTCTGTGCAGGGAAGGTCGCAGTGGTCTCAGCGCGGCAGCCAGTCACTCCTCACAGAGCCGCAAACCCCCCACAGTCCCAACAGAAGAACAAGCGATGGCAGCACCTCGTTGCCAAACACAGTGCCGCCATCACCATGTGCCCCACTGTCACGAGCGGCAACGCCACCCGTTGCTCCCGCCGCCAAATGTTCAGCAGAGCACTTCGGGCGAGACACCACGGGTGAAGAGGTACGCGCAGCCACATTCTTCGGAATAGAAGCTTTGTTTGCGTTAAGCGCATTAATCTCATTGCCATCCAACGGGCGGTTGTACAGTAGGACGTTCGTCACAGTCACAGACACGCCTTCTTTGCTCCCTGTTTTGTCTCCATCCCCTCCAATGCAGAAGTGGGAGACCACATTAATATCCGTATTTTTCAATTCACATTGCGCATCCTTACACACAAGTTTACCATTAACGTAGATCGAGCCCTGTTTGCCGTTCTGTAGCACAATCGCCACCTGGTACTTTGCATCTGTCTCCCAAGTGCCGCTGAGCTCCTCGGTCTTTCCGCCACCCTGCAACAATTTCCACCTCTTTTCTTTGTTGTACGACAGTCCCAGAAGTACTGCATTCTCTGCGTCATTCGTCTTCACACCCATCAAAGGAATGGGAGTATCTTCCTTCGTCGGCACCTTGTGGATGGACACCGTCGCCACAAGAGTGAAGTTGTAGTTCGCGAAGTGGTACAGCTGATTCTCCCCCTGACTGCCAACAGGCCACTCCGCCCACGCTCCTTTGAACGTCACTCCGCCGGCATGCAATGTTGCCTTCGCAGCCCCTTCATTATTATTTACCGTGGCGTTCACCCCGAGGTACTCGTCCCTCCATGTGTTACCAGAGAAGTTGCCGGACAAAAAGCCAACCAGCCCATCCGTGATCTTAACACCGCTGCAGTCATTTTCAGTTGAACGATCCTTCTCAGCACTTGAGGGGCACAGCTGGGAAACGCTTTGGTCCACTTTATTCCAGGTCGCCACCACCTCCTTCATCCGCTTCAGCTGCTCACTCAGACGCACAGAGACCATACCAGGTGATGGTTTGCCCTCATCGCCCTTCTTCTCGTATAGTGCAATCAACTCCTCATTATTATTGGTTTCACCACTTTTACCACTTTTGTACAACAGGGAGCTGGCGGCAGCATCGTCCCCTTCCCCGGGTACCGGCCCAATATCAACAATGTGCGTATTGTCCGTCAGCCAAAGATGGAGTTCACCCTTTTGAGCGCCTCCCTTCTCAAGCTTCTCGGAACACACCGGCAGAGTAACAAGCATCACGTCCCTGTTCTCAATCGTCGCTGTGATGAACCCGCTTCTAACGCCCTTCTCATGTAGCTTACGGTTGTTGCCCCACACGCGCGAGAGTGTCCCGAGTGCCTCCGTCCACGGCTTCCCCTTGTCACCGATCTCGTACACCCTGCGGCGGCCATCAGCACACGCAGTCATCATCATGAGTTTTTTGTTCTTCCACCCCACGACGGAGGGATCACTGCAGCCATCGTCAGAAATCCCCTTCGACAGCGTCCAATTTGCAGCATCCGAGGAGTATATGAGCAGCGAAACATTGTTATTCCTTCCACCCTCCGCAGTGCCATTAACATTATTCTCCTTCACGGCCTCCATTGCGAACACAAGCGTACCGTCCTCCATCTTAACACCCGATCCACCACCGCCAATGTGTCCTGTCAAAGTGTCATCGTTTTCACCGATAACATTGCACAAAATACTGATAGTATCATTCCAATAAATTCTTTTGGTACTTTCATCCACACCACTGACGTTCCCTTTCACCAGCAAAAGTCCCCACTGAGCCACGCCAGCCACACCTACCTGGCAATTAGGGAGACCTTTACTCATGTAGACTCCAGCAAGCATGCAAATATCATTTCCCTTCACAACTGTTGTTGGACGGCTCACATGTACTCTCGTCCCGCCTTGGGAATCATCCTTATCCTCTGTTTTGGAGGCGCAATTCCATCCATCGGTTGGACATTCCTCCAGCACCTCCTTCTTCACCTCAGCTGCTTCCAGGGCTTTTGGGTTTTTGTCGTCCAACTTCATGAATTGTGAAGCAATGCAAGGAAAAATGACGCTATCCTTCTCGCACCACGTCTCGGCAACGGCAAACACTTCACCATTCATCTCAACAAGACTGGGAGCATGGAGAAGACTCACTTTTTTCTCTCCATCTTTCACATCTCTCCAAACGAAACATTTCCCCGATGAAGAGCCCTGACGTCACTCTGATCCTTCAGCAGCCACAGCCCCAACACTGTTGCAGCACAACATCGCAAGAAGAAGAAAAAGGGGCACCGCAGAACAGAAGAGATGCCGGGACATGTTGGGCATCCGCCGCTCACTCCCTCTTCCTTCCCTCCTCCTTCCGCTGGATCCGGTCACGCGGCGACGGTTGTGTGTGCGGGGTGCCTTCACTGCAGCAACACGTGAGAGCATATAAATACGTGTGGGCGGTGTGTGTGCTGTTGGTCCTTTCAGAGCCTTCGAATTCCACAGTAGCGATTAGCGCTTGGTATTAACTTCTTTCCTTTGTGTGTGAGTGGTTTAGAAAAAAAAGGAAAAGAAGTGAAAAACACCGTCACCCATCCACAGTGAGCGGCATCATCATCCGCACCGCATTCACTCCCAACAACAACGACAACTCGCGCGCACAGACACACGGAACGAGAAGGAAGAACAGTGCAAAGAGAACACACAACGACTGTTGCCACCAGCAGGAGCCACGGCTGGCGCTTCTGCCACGCGTCATGCACTCTCCGAGCTACGCCGACACACAAAACAATCAGCGAGATGCAGAAGGGTACACAACTGCCCTTCGCAACACCAACGCGCCATCGCCAGTCGTTTTACTGTTGTCTCTTCCCACACCCTCCATCGCACATCGCCCCGCACAGCCGGAGAATCCTCCGTCGCTGTACGAACAGCGGGAGGAACACGTCGGCATGTGCAGCTGCCAGGAGAGAATCCATACGCATATCTCCCAGGCTCCCTCAATGCCGCGCCGCCCACGGGCAGCACGCCAAGAAAATCACGCTCGCAGCACGGCAAAAAACAAAATCGCAGTCTTCCGTCACCCCTCCTCGAAAGGGCCGCCGCAGCCAAAATCTTGTGCGTGTGCGCGTTCTCATCATTCACGCCGCTCCACAGCGTGTGCCTGTGTTTGTGTGTTTGTCAGCGCCTATACTTGCAGAGCAGATCTACAACACAAGAGAGTCAAAAAAGGCAACAACAGAGAAGCGGATAGCACACACGCAAATTACTCATATCATCACACACACATGCAGCCAGCGGAATGGGTGCACTCAAACAAAACACAAGTAAAACAATGAAAAAAACAAAAACAAAAAGCCAAAGCGTGGGACGACCAGCGCACACTCTCTCGTTGCTCCCGTAAAGCAAAACACACACACAGGGAGAGAAAGAGAGAGATCGCCCACTAAAAGCAATAAAATAAAAAACAGAAACAGTTACGGTGCTCCGCCCATGCAGCCAGGCAGGACGGCAGCGGTGCGTGTCGTGCAAAAGAGAGCACCAACGGGCATGCATGGGTGTGCATGCATATATACAATGAGCACATTATATGTGTGCTTCGTGGGATGAGGTGAGGGCGAGAGTCCATGCAAGGGGACACACACAGAGAGTGAGTGAAGGACGAGTGCGTGTGCGGGCGGTGCACGGCTCTCTCTCCCTCACTCTCACGCGGCCACCACCGCAGCAGCAGCCGCACAAGCAACAACAAGAAGAAGAAGCAAAAGAGGGGAGGTGGTGTGGGAGACCGCGGTGCTGCCGTCACTGTCGCCAGTCGTCGCCGTTGTAGTTTTCATGGCTGTGGCCGTCACTGGTGTTTCTTTCGCATTGGATTCTTTATTTTCATTTTGTTTTCCTTCTGCTACCCCTGCAGCATCAGCTGCTGGATCATCGTCTCCAGTTGTTGGTGTGCTGTTGGGATTTGTTATCTTCGATGATCCCTCCGCACCAGAAGATACAATTGGCTGCTCTTGACCGGCTGCTGAGATCCCCTCCGTGGTGCCGGTAACAGGTTCTCTCTCTTCTTCTTTTTTTCTCTCCTCCTCCTCTTCCACTTCCTCCTTTTTTTCTTCATTCTTTTTATCTTCTTTATTTTGATCCTTTTTTTCAATCGTTGCACTTGCCGTTACTGATGCTTCTCCTCCGGGTTGTGGTGCCGGTGACGGGCTCGGTACCGCATCCGCTTCCGCTGCCGGTAATCCTGACGCCTTTGATGCTGGTGCTTGTGGCGCTGTCTGTTGAACGTTTTGTTCACCTCCTCCAGCGCCAACGACGGTCTCTCCTTTGCTTTGAGGGTTCTTGCCGGACGTATTACCCGGAGAAGCTGGAGTTGTTTCAGCTCGTTCACCACCGCAGACACCGCACCACAGCACGCAGAGGGCACACACCAGCAGCACACGGCCAGTCATCATCATCGCCATCACTGCTGTCACTTGCGTGTAGCCTTCAGCACAAACTAACAACACGTCAACGCAGAGTGAAAGCAAAGAGAGACATGTCACACAGCCACGCACCGTCCCATCCAGCAATGAGAGTCACGCACCACAACAACAATTGGGTGGGCGCGGTTCAACAACAATCAAAAAACAACAACCAAAGAATTAATCCTCGCCGTGCCCGTCCCTCACACCCCCACAGTCACTACAACCGTTATTCCTTCTCCTCAGGCCCTCACAGGCACGCCACGCTCACTCCAGCACGCGCCCCTCCAGCACAGGCCTCGGGATCGTCGGGCCCTCCCACCGCACGCAGCCGTCATGCGCTCCCGCTGCGCCGCAACGTACGCCACCTCCTCCCAGTCCAGCAGCTCCGTGTCCGCCACGTCCCTCACAATCGCCGCCATGCCACCGCCACGCACAACACACACAGCGCCACAATGTCGTGCCGCCACTCTTCGCCAATGATGAGCGCAACACCCAACGCGTACTGGCGCACGTGTCCCATGCGCTGCAACAGCACGCGGATCAGCCTCACCGTCATGCACCGCATCTCGTTGTCCTTGTGGTTGGAGCAGACACTCCCATCCTCTCAATCCACGGCCTGGTGCTGCAAGAGGCTGCCGAGGGGAGCCACGTGTGTGTGGAAGACCCCAATGCGCGGGGCGCAGTTGGCAGCCACCCACGCTCAGTTCCTCGCACCTCCCCGCTCCCTCCAATCGCCCACACACAAGGGCGGTGCCATGGGAGAGAAAGAGAAGTCCGCCGCACAACACATGCACAAATGCACACGCAGCAGCAACGCCATCCACGTCGCACTGCAAGAAAGATCCATGCGCACCGCACACACACAACCGCAAAGAAAAAGGGACGGAGCGCATCCAAGAACAGAGCACAGTCCTTCACTTCCCTCTGCCCTTACAAATTGGCATGGCGCCTCACAGCAGGTTGTGGCGGATTAGTGTTCCACACCCACAGTGAGGCACGGCGCACACCATCCGCTCCCCTCCGAGTGCACTCAGCAGGCCGGGGCAGGGCGCCCAGTCACCCTCGTGCCATCGCAATGGGGAGCACAAACAATCGTCGTCGCGGACCATCGGTGCCTCTAGCAGGGAAGAAAGAGAAATGGAGGCATGTCAGCAGCACAGCCAGCAGAGCGACACTCAACGGGACACGGCAACACAAAGCGACGGTGAGCACAGCACAAACGGAAACAAGCCGCAGCGAGATACCCAAAAGAAAAAAGAAAAAAGGGGTGAGTCATGCAGAACCCACAAAATTAAATAATTGTTCAGGCAGGACTTTTATTTCTTGTGCCTAGAAGCACATGGCAGCCGTGTGCATACATTTTGCCCGCACAAAAAATGGAAACTAAAAAACAGATCTTGCTGTTCCACGAGCCCACACAACACCCTTCACACGTCATGCGGCATGTGGCCTGTTCCTCCAATCCTCCTTTGTGCACTCCGTGGGAGACACAGCAGTGAGGCCGGCACCGCGTGTGGGCAACAAATGAAAACAAAAGGGGAATACGTCACTCGTGACGGTGTACAGCTTCAACCATTAGAAGAAAAAACTTTATTAAAGCAAAGCACCAACATCAAAAAACAACGAAAAAACAATCAAATACAAAAAGAAATGTGCAGCCGTCACCACACAAAAAATTAAGGTTAATAGGAATATGCCCACAAAACAACAACACAAATAAAGATATAAAAAAACAAAATGAAAAAAGCCGAAGCGTGGGACGACCAGCGCACAAACTCTCATTGCTCCCGAAAGCAAAACACACACACAGGGAGAGAGAGAGGTCGCCCACTAAAAGCAATAAAAACAAAACATAAACAGTTACGGTGCTCCGCCCATGCAGCCAGGCAGGACGGCAGCGGTGCGTGTGGCGCAGAAGAGAGCACCAACGGGCCTGCATGGGTGTGCATGCATATATACAATGGGCACATTATGTGTGTGCTTCGTGGGGTGAGGTGAGGGCGAGAGTCCATGCAAGGGGACTCACACACAGAGAGTGAGAGAAGGACGAGTGTGTGTGCGGGCGGTGCATGGCGCTCTCCCTCACTCTCACGCGGCCACCACCGCAGCCGCAGCCGCACAAGCAGCAACAAGAAGAAGAAGCAAAAGAGGGGAGGTGGTGTGGGAGGCCGCGGTGCTGCCGTCACTGTCGCCAGTCGTCGCCGTTGTAGTTTTCATGGCTGTGGCCGTCACTCCTCACAGAGCCGCAAACCCCCACAGTCCCAACAGAAGAACAAGCGATGGCAGCACCTCGTTGCCAAACACAGTGCCGCCATCACCATGTGCCCCACTGTCACGAGCGGCAACGCCACCCGTTGCTCCCGCCGCCAAATGTTCAGCAGAGCACTTCGGGCGAGACACCACGGGTGAAGAGGTACGCGCAGCCACATTCTTCGGAATAGAAGCTTTGTTTGCGTTAAGCGCATTAATCTCATTGCCATCCAACGGGCGGTTGTACAGTAGGACGTTCGTCACAGTCACAGACACGTCTTCTTTGCTCCCTGTTTTGTCTCCATCCCCTCCAATGCAGAAGTGGGAGACCACATTAATATCCGTATTTTTCAATTCACATTGCGCATCCTTACACACAAGTTTACCATTAACGTAGATCGAGCCCTGTTTGCCGTTCTGTAGCACAATCGCCACCTGGTACTTTGCATCTGTCTCCCAAGTGCCGCTGAGCTCCTCGGTCTTTCCGCCACCCTGCAACAATTTCCACCTCTTTTCTTTGTTGTACGACAGTCCCAGAAGTACTGCATTCTCTGCGTCATTCGTCTTCACACCCATCAAAGGAATGGGAGTATCTTCCTTCGTCGGCACCTTGTGGATGGACACCGTCGCCACAAGAGTGAAGTTGTAGTTCGCGAAGTGGTACAGCTGATTCTCCCCCTG